CCTGAGTGCCGTGCCCATCACTTTGCTTCGCGGCCCCCTGGGGAAGAACCAGTATCTGCCTAACGGGCAGTGAGAGCCTCATGCCTGTGCAAGGATTGGGAGGCTCTGGGCCCTCCTGTATCCCGCTTGCCACCCCGCATCGCCAGCCATGCAGCTTTACTGACTTGCCAACTTCCGTCAATCTAGGCACTGCTGCTCCAGGAGAAACTCTCCTTCCATCATTACAGGAAACATCCATGTGACGGCATTACAGTGGCATATGTGCCGCACTGACACTGTGCAGCTGTAGTGCCCATAATGTAGCTGGCCTGTCTCTTGAATGTTGTGGAACGTGTCCTACGTGCACTTCAAGCCTTGTGTAAATGCACTCCTAGGACTGTGGAGACCAAAGGTATCTGTCCTCTTCGCACTTTGCCAGCACGTATACAGCCAGCCATGCCAAAAGATAAGTCAAGATTTATGCCTGTGCAACCTGAGGCTACTGGGGCAGGGAGCTGGGGGCGGGGTTAGTCCCTGAAGGAACTGGATGTCTTTAGCAGCATCTTTATACATCATTCCCCTGATGTAAGGTAAGTTCTGTCACACACGTTGGGTAACCAGACATCCTGATATTAGGGGCTTTGACTTACATATGTGACTCTACCGACCCCACCCAAAAAAAGTGTCCCAGTTTTTCACACCTGTGAACAGTCCGTTCACCCTGTGTCCACACCAGGGATGTAAAATCACGTTTAATCAGTTAACTGGTTAAACCTTAGATTTTTACCAATTAATCGATTAAGCACAATGTGGGGCTGCCGCCGCCTCCACTAACCCAGCCCGGGGCTCCCAAGTCTGTGCGGGGCTACTGGCTCCTGCCCCAGCCCACTATGCAACGGGGCCAGTGGGGCTCAAGCAACCCTCTACCATCAGCAAGCTGTGGCCGGGGGTCTGCTCCCAAGAGCTGATTAACTGTGTAGTCAACCTGTGGAACTCCTTGTCAGAGGAGGCGGTGAAGGCTAGGAATATAACAGTTTAAAGAGAAGCTAGATCATTTCATGGAGGTTAGGTCCATAAAAGGCTATTAGCCAGGGGATAAAATGGTGTCCCTGGCCTCTGTTTGTCAGAGGCTGGAGATGGATGGCACAAGACAAATCGCTTGATCATTGTCTTCGGTCCACCCTTTCTGGGGCACCTGGTGCTGGCCACCGTCAGCAGACAGGCTACTGGGCTAGATGGACCTTTGGTCTGACCCAGTACGGCCATTCTTATTTTCTTATGTTCTTATTACCTGGTAGGCATCACCCAGTAATGGTGATTCTTACTGAATAACTAGTTAAATGGTTACCCTTTCATATCCGTGGGCCACATAAGAATGTGAGACTCTTCTCTAGTGGCCCTGGGTGTGATACTGTAAAAACTGCTGAGCTAAATAATATCTCCAGGAATTTTTGAGACTTCCAAGATCTTTCCTCCTCCTAACAATTCCTAACCCACCTGTGAAACATTCTCCTCCGTTCTCCATGAGTTCTTCTTCCTGTCCGAAGAACTCATGGAGTCCCTCTCCATCTCTTTCCTTGTTTCTGCCTGGTCTCCTTGGTTACCTCAACTCTCTTTAGATGTGGGTTTTTTTCCTCTTGTTCTCTAGTGTGAATAAAGCGGATGGCTGAATGCAGTGGCACCAGGGCCTAGCCTGCAATGGGTACTATGCAAATACCAACTGTATATCTTATACACCAAACGCCTACGTCCCTTGATGGACAGGCCCTGCTTTTCTCAAATGAGACACACTGTGCCGGTCTTGCGCAAGACCCTTTGGTCTGTTAGCACTGTTTTCAGGAAGTGGTGTTGTCGGTTTGAATTGTTCTGGGATATTCTAACTAACAATTAATTAGCACTTCAGTGGCATTTTTTTAAAAATTTTCAGTGAGCTTTACATTCCCTAAGCAATTCACAGACTTCTGACGAAGTTAGCCGCTATTCTCCCCATTTTATAAGGCAGAGAGGTGAAATAGCGTGTCCATGGTCACAGAAGGGAATCAGTATCCGAGCCAGATGTGGCAGGTTCAGAGTAAGCTAACTAACAATTAATTAGCACTTCAGTGGCATTTTTTTAAAAATTTTCAGTGAGCTTTACATTCCCTAAGCAATTCACAGACTTCTGACGAAGTTAGCCGCTATTCTCCCCATTTTATAAGGCAGAGAGGTGAAATAGCGTGTCCATGGTCACAGAAGGGAATCAGTATCCGAGCCAGATGTGGCAGGTTCAGAGTAAGCCCCCCCCTTTCGTCGACTATGCCAGGATCTCCCGGTCAGGTCTCCAGCCATCATCTGTCTCTGGGTCAGGGTCCCTTGTCCCGCGGCTTTCTGACTCTGCGTTTTAAGGCTGCGTGTTCTCTTTCCTGCACTGTGGCTGTGTCTAGACTGGCCAGTTTTTCCGGAAAATCAGCCACTTTTCCGGAAAAACTTGCCAGCTGTCTATACTGGCCGCTTGAATTTCCGCAAAAGCACTGACTTCCTACTGTAAGAAATCAGTGCTTTTTGCGGAAATACTATGCTGCTCCCGTTCAGGCAAAAGTCCTTTTACGCAAAACTTTTGCGCAAAAGGGCCAGTGTAGACAGCTCAGATTTGTTTTCCGCATAAAAGCCCAGATCGCGAAAATGGCGATCGGGGCTTTTTTGCAGAAAAGCGCGTCTAGATTGGCCACGGACGCTTTTCCGCAAAAAGTGTGGAAAAGCATCCTGCCAATCTA